CGCTTATTCCACTGAGCCATCTCCCCGGCCCCTATCTATCTTTTTTGAGACAGGATCCTATCCCACGGTTCAGGCTGGCTTTGTAGCCCAAGCTGGCCTCAACCTCACAGCAATCCTCCCGCCTTAGGCTCCCCAGTATTGGGATTGGAGGCGCATACCACTATGCCTGGCTGCCCCTGCGTGAATTTTAGAGCAGGCTTCTTGCATTCAGTTTTTAGGGCCCCTGTGGGCTCTGAGAACGTCAGGGTTTGGGTGCTGATGCATGTGGGGGGACTCTAAGGCTCCGCCCCTTGCTGCTGGCCTACTGAACCCTGGTGTCCTGGCCCTGGAGCCCGGGGTGGGCACCTTTCATGGACCATGTACAGCTTGGATCACATTGTTTGCCCTCACCTGGGCTGCGGAAGGGTCCCTGACCCAAGTGGGTGGCCCGGGGCAGCTGTGTTGGTTTTGACCATGTACACACCTGTAATCCTAGCCCCTGGGAGGCTGAGGCAGGAGGGTTGCAGGGTAATGCCGAGTGGCATGTGATGAGAGGTGACAGGTAGGTAGATAGGAAAGGATAAATGCTTCCCCCAGCCCGGCCCACTGGGGAGGCGCTGCCCCATCCTGAGGCTCTGTATTGTGTTTCAGACAAATACAATGACTTCATCGAGGCCAATCGCATCGAGGACGCCAGGGAGCGGATGAAGACCCTGCGGAAGCTGGTGAGAAGTTGGGGCACTGCTAGCGGGTCAGGCTGGGAAGCTCAAGGCCCCCTGCTGTGCCAGGGAGAGGGGCTGGCATGGGGAAGTTGTCACAGCCTGGTCCTAATCCTCTCCCCCCAGATCCGGGACCTCCCAGGACATTACTACGAGACGCTCAAGTTCCTCGTGGCCCACCTCAAGACCATTGCAGACCACTCAGAGCAGAACAAGGTGGGCCCTGCGGGCCTTGGAGGGATGGGCGAGAACCATGTGGGCGCTTGAGGCACTGTCGGCAGGGAGCACCCAGGGCTGCCCTGAACGGGAATGCAGGTTGTGCACTGCTCGGGGCGGCCAAGCCGGGGCAGAGTCTGAAGCGGGCCCAGCTGTCTGTGCCCCGCAGGCAGCTCAGGATGCCACCAGGGAAGGCACAGGGAGATAGACGCTGACCCCGCCTGCCTCTGCCCACCCAGATGGAGCCTCGGAACCTGGCCCTGGTCTTCGGGCCGACGCTGGTAAGGACGTCAGAGGACAACATGACGGACATGGTGACCCACATGCCGGACCGCTACAAGATCGTGGAGACGCTGATCCAGCATGTAAGCCTTCGCCGGCACCTGGCGTGTTTCCAGGCACAGCCCACGCCCTGTGTGCTGGCCGTGGATCCCAGGGTGGCACCGAGTCACCCCTCCTTAGCAGGGGCAGCCCCAGCCCCAGACAGGGAACAGGCACTGCCCTGGACTGGAGGTAAAGCAGGGGTGACCCTGTGGACAGTCCCAGGGCTGTGTCAGCCAAGGTAGCTGAAGGAGCAGCCTCAGGGACTGGGAGTCCCAGATCATGTCTTTATTGTTTTTGTTTTGTTGGGGCAGGGTCTTGCTGTGTGGTTCAGGAGAGCTTTGAACTCACCTTGTAATCTGGCTTCACACTCATGGCAGTCCTGCTGCATGCAGGGGTGACAGGTGTGCACTGCCGCACGCGGCTGAGGTGCTTCTTTTGTGCCAGGACCATGCGTTGTAGGACTTCTGAGAGTGTCTCTGACTTCCAACTCTAGCTGTTGAGATGCCTCTCCAGTTGGGACCCCTGGGAATGTCCCCAGGCACTGCCAGCACCGTGTGGGGGCAGTTGCCCTGCTGTGGGGCCGACCTGCTCATTGCACAGCGTGGCCTCCGAGGGCCCCCCGCCCCTCTGTGCTTTGGTGCTCTTGTCTGTAATGCCCAGGAGCCTGGGCTGAGTAACAGTCTGAGCTCACGGGTCCCGTGAGGGCAGCTCCAGTTAGAGCCGGTGGAGTGCCAGCAGGGGCCTGGCAGCCTGGGCACGTCCCCATTGTCCACACTGGCATTCAGGTAGGGGCCGGGGACCTGCGGTGATGGCACTCCCGCTCGGAGGGGATCCAGACGTGGTGCGTGCGGACATCAGAGCCTTCGCCAGAGACCACAGGGCTGCAGGCATCAGGGCAGTGGGAGGTGCTGCAGGCTGGGGGACATCACGAGGCAGGCAGGAGCCCCAGCAGCCCACGTGTAAGCTGCACTGGCCGCATACCACATTGCATGAGTCCCGTTGGAAAGCTGCTGGAGTTCTCGGGAGAAGGACTAAAGGTAGCGCTCTCTGATGGCCCCAGGTGCAAGGTGGACAGGTCACCCCCACTTGCCCGCCCAGCTTGGGGACAAACCTGCCCAGGACAGTGAGGCAAGAGCTAGTGTCTGTGTAACGGGCTGTCACACTGCCGCGTGGTGGGAGGGAGCTTGGGCACTTTGTCAGCAAAGTGACATTGGGCATGCAGAGCCCAGTATGAGCAGACACGTCCTGTGCTGGAGCAAGTGTGGCCACAGGACTGTAGGTGAATTACCAAGACTCGGAGGGTTGCAGCCCCAGGGAGCTTGAAAACCCTAAAAACAGACGTCTGAAGACAGGTGCCTGTGTGAACTGAGGTAGACGAGGGGCTGTGGGTGCCTTGGTCTCTCTGCACCCACAGAAGAGTCCTGCTTTGTGTTTTGTTCTGTGTGGTGTTGGTAGTGGTGCCTGTTGACACAGGGTCTCACTGTTAGCCCAGGCTGGCCTCCAAGTGGCGATCCTCCTGCCTCAGCCTCCTGGGTGCTGGGAGAGGCGTGCACCCTCACGCTGACTGGGTCTTGAATTTTGTTTTTTTGTTATTTTTAATTTTTTTTTTATTTTAACATTTATTGTGTGTGTGTGTGTGTGTGTGTGTGTGTGTGTGTGTGTGTGTGTGTGTGTGTGGCCAGCTCAGCCCACCGGGGGCACGGCCGGCATGTGGTGCTGGAGGATTGAACCGCAGTCCCTGTGCTTTGCCAAGCTTGTTCCAAGTAGGTGCTTTAGACCACTGAGCCATCTCACCAGCCCCAGGGTCTTGAATTTTGAAGGGCAGCCTCTGGTCTCCCAGAGGTTCAGAGGAGCGGAGTCTCAGTCCTGAGAAATTCCAGTGTCCGTTTCTCACGTAGGAATTTTGTAGCTTGTCACCGGGTCTCATGAGGAAAGACGGCTGTTCCTCCAGAACTGGAAACGGGCCTGTGAGCTGTCCTCGCCTGCTCTTGGCAGAGAGCCTTTTGCTTTCCCAAGGAGATTTTAGTCACGTGCCCTTGGGGTCCCTCGCGGTGGACAGCAGCCCGCCCGGGAAGAGAGACCGCCTCGAGCAGATGAAGAATGTTCTGAGCTTTTGCTTTTCTCGGTGTCATTCCCAGAGTGAGGGCTGTGCAGTTTGGGACACAGGCCCGGGCAGGAGGGCTGGGCCTCAGTGGAGCGCTTCATACCCTGCCCTGTGATGTCCTCCGAGGTCCCTCCAGGGCGGAGCGCATCTCCTCAGGGGCCTGGAGGGGCCATCACTCGGGGCCTGCCAGCCTTGTGGGGAAAGCGGAGGAAAAGAGACCCCGAGGGCTCCCCTGCACCCCAGCTGTGGCCATAGAGCTAGAGAGGGGCTTTTTTTTTAGGGAAGGAAGTTAAAACAGATGCCAGGGTCACCTGCAGTCTCACAGTCGAAGGGGGTGTCTGTGGATGGGACACTGGGTGTGGCCTCTGCCCCAGCAGGAGGTGAGGGTGTGGCCTGGCTTAGCCCCTCCACGGAGCGTGTCAGCCACAGGGACCGCCTGACAGACAGGAGCCCGGGCAGTGGCTCTATGTAGTCACGTGTGCGTCCACTTCTTGCCCTGAAAGCAGGCCTTGACGGGCCCTGTCGCTTGACTCTGGCCGCTCCTCACTCTCTCTGCCTTTTGTCCTCATCGAGGTCGCCACTGTTGTACACAGAAAAGACCATGGCCCCGGGGCCACCGGCAAGCCCACCAGGAGCTTGGGAGGGTCAGCCTGACTGCCCCCTGCTCTGTGGGTCTCTGCCCCAAGAAAGGAACCTGGGCCCGAGCTGCGTCCTCTACTCCTGGGGCCTCCCGCAGGGCCGGGTGAGGGGGCATCCGGCGGGCCTCAAGCTGTGTGAGGGGCCCCGCGCAGCGCCTGGGTCACCTGAACGGGCTGAGTTAGCGGTCTTAGGATCGTAAGGGGCCACTGCCCAGGGCCGTGGTCCTCCTCAGACCGGCGGAGAGACCCATGTCCCCTGAGAGCCAGCTGGGTGTCCGAGGACAGGAGCACAACGGTACCTATTTCCTTTTCCCTGGGCCTCTTGGTACTGTAGTCCTGGCCCTTCCCAGCAGGACAGCCAGAAAAACCTGAATACAGGGATTTTATGCCACTTTCCTTGCCCTTTGCAAAAAAGATCTAACTGAAGAACAGAATCGTAACTTAGACTGCCATTCTGGGCGCAGGCAGTACTGCAATAGAAGACAAATTGTTCCTTTTCAAATCAGCAGGGTCAAATCTTTCCCGGTTTTTAAGGACACAGCGAGGGGTGAGGTCGCTGGGCTCTGCAGTGTCTCCCGTGGCGCGCCAGGAGCCCATGCAGAGAGAGGACTAGGTCTGGGGCCCTTCATCAGGGTCCCCTGCAGAAGGAAGAGCCCCGCTGAGGCTCCAGGATGACCCTTGTGAGACTCCAGCCCCTCATGGCTCTGCCCTAAGCCGCACTGGTGCCTTTTTAAAAATTTATTTTTCTTAATAGAACTCTTTGGGACCAGGGAGGTGGCTCAGTGGAATAAACGCTTCCCTGGCAAGCGCAAGGGCCTGAGTTCAATCCCGGGTTCCTCCAAAAAAAAAGAGGGTTCCTCGGAGAGCAGGGTGGAGCCCTCGGCTCCTTTCCATTTATCCCCGTTTCAAAAAATTCAGTACTTTGTTTAGGGCAGTAGAGATAGATACCTCTTTTTTACTATTTAAGAGGGGAAAAGAAAAGAAAAAGAAAAACTTAAAAAGCGGCCCTTGA